GAAATTTTATAAGAAAAAATTCAACTCCATCAAAAATAGGGATAAGAAAAGAACAGAAACCTCTTCAAAGAAGAAATACTAGTGGACAGAAGCACATGAAAAAGAGCTCTACATCAATAATCATCTGGGAATTGCAAAGCAAAACAATAATGAGCTATCATCTCATGCCACAGAGTCTGGCACACATCAAAAAGAACAACCAGTTCTGATGTAGATGTGGAGAAATGAGAGCTCTCCTTCATTTCTAGTAGAAATGCTGATTGATCCAGTCAAAAAACTAGAAATTGAGATTCCATACAATTCAACAATACTGGCCCTGGGAATATATCCCCAATGGACTATTGTGTAGATGTACAGTTTCTTTATCCAATCACCTGTTCTCGGCCACTTGGATTGGTTTTAGATTCTGGCTACTGTGAATTGTTCAACAATGAACATAAAAATACAGATAGTGTTTCTGCTGTGTTTTCTGGCACTCAGGGTATATTCCCAGAAGTGGAATTATTGGGTCATATAGAAGTTCAATTTCTAGGTTTTTGAGGAATGCCCATATTATTTTCCAAAAAGGCTGAACCAGTTGGCATTTCCAACATCAATGAATGAGAGTCTGTTTCTTCCTGTATCTGCACCAGAGCTAGATGTTCTGGTTCTTTTCGATGTGTTTCAGTTTCTCTTGTGTGAGATGATATCTCATTGTTGTTTTGATTTACATCTCCCTGATGATTAGCTATGCAGGCCATTTTTTCATGGTGTTGAATTATTGTATGCCTAAAACTCAACTATCATTAACTTTTAAAATCATGACTCTTTAATATTTTTTTAATTTTAAAAATAAATTTCTTTGATATAAACCTCTTTTCGGGTGGGTATTGGGTAAATAAATTTTTCATTCTGTGGTCTGTCTTTGTTTCTTGGCCACCACTTTTTGAGATGCAGAAGTTTCTTTTTAGTCTAATGTAGTTCCATTTATTTATTTTTGTTTCCACTTTGCTGGTCAGTGGTGTTTCATCTTTGAAGACGCCTTTAGCTTCAGTGTCATTATGGATTCTGCCAGCATTTTCCTCCATGGACCTTATGGATTCAGGTATGATGTTGATTTTCCATTTTGATCTGATCAAAAGCATTCATTTTAAATGAAATATGCACACTTGAGTTCACTGAATTGAGTATGATATCCAGGGTATGGAAATAATTCAATGCCCATCAACAGATTTTTGGATAAATAAATTGTGATATATCTACATCTATATCTATATCTATCCATCTATCTATCTATCTATCAATCTAGACAATCAAAAACTATCCATCTATAAGAAAGATGAAAGTTTTCTTAAACCTGGATTTAACTGGAGCATATCTTTTTTAAGTAAAATAAGTCAGGGAGACAATAACAAATATCAGATTATCTCATTTATCTGTGGTATATAGATAAGCAAAAAGAGGCAATAGATTATATAGAAAGATGTCAAATCCTCATTCTATGGCAAAACAAATTATTCTGTGATAAACTATAATGGAGGCAAGGACATGGACATGCACAGATCTCTGGTCCTGATTCCAGTGTCTCCTCAAAAAGGATTTTATAGAGAACACAAAATATTAAAACAAGCACTTATTTTAAAATGTAAAGGACACAAGTGAAGAATACTATGAGATTACTGGAGTAAAGCAAATTGCTTACTTAAGAAAGTACCAAAGGAACTCCTGCAAGTCTAGTAGTGAAAGTTCAAAGGAGGAAAAGAAAAATATTTTTTCACCTCTTTATATGGTTTCAGACTCCCTTCCGAAGTACCTGGAATCTGAGGTTCTCACCATATTTTTCCAAATTCGTGCATAGCCATGGTCACTATAAAGTGTAATTGTACTGGTGGATATGAATTTAGAAATGTCAAAGTACTATAACAATCCAATGTTGACCCAGATTTCTCAGTGATTGTGTGAAACTACTTGTACTTCTACTTGACTTGTGTTTTTGAAAAACAAAAGTACTACAACGATCTGATATTGAGCTACTGTTCTCTCCATGATCATGTAAAACTATTTTTTTCTTTCTCCTGGGTTGTAACAAAGGAACGGCAGGACATAAAACAGGGCACATAAATTAGGCCTTGGCATTGCTCTGCCAGACATTTGGTTTAAAAACTGGGGCTTGCTTTTCTTCTCCCTGTATTTTCCCTCACTCCTATGACCTCCCTCACTCATTTCTTTAGTTACCTAGTATCTAACACCTACAGTTAAGGAAGAAGAAAAGAAGGCAAAGACTTAAAGTGACACAAATACAGGATCTTGGGCACTTTGACAGTGGTGAAGATGAAGTAAATTTGTACATCAAAACCATGAAAGTTTGCATTACTCAACCGTGCTGCCTAAAGTACAATTTAAAGGTGGATTAATTACTAAATGTTTGACATAAACAGTAGTTATATGTCCTATGCTTGGAAATGTTCAATCTAACAAAGTGGTATAGATACATATGCAACTCTGCACAAGAATTGGGAACTAGTGCATTATAGCTACAGATTAAAAAGATAGGTATTGATAAGTGATGAAACTGAAAAGGTGCAGTGGACATATGTCTTGCAAGACAACACTTAAAACAACCTATATATTAAAAGTGGCCAATTTAGGTACCAAAAGTGGAATTGCTGTGTGTTGTAGCAATTCAGTTATAAGTTTACTAAGAGTCTCCATACTTGTCTCCACAGGGTTTTTACAAGACATAATTCCTACCAACAGTGAATAACAGTTCCTTTTTCATTACTCCCTTGCCAACGCAGATTGTTCCCACTATTTCTGATGTGCGCGTTTATCACTAGTGTGAGATAATAAGTGATGATGAGCATCTTTTCATGTGCCTATTACACATATATTGGTATTCCTCTGAGAAGTGTCTGTTCGTTTTCTCTCTCTACTTTATTTATAATTTTAAAATTCTTGGAAAGAGGTTAGATCTTTTGCCTTGTTTATGTGCAAGAAAAGTGCCCTAGCCTCTGTACTATCTCTCCAGACCCTGTGAGTACTTTATATATCCTGTATATCAACCCTGTATCTAATGTGTGCAATACTTTTTTTTTCAAATCCAGTAGTGGTCTTAGTTTTAGCTCGTAGATTTTATTATTTTTACGATACATAACATTCTTTAATTTGATGTAGTGCCATTTTTAATTGTATCTACTCATGGAACACAAAAAATCACTCAAAAAGACATGCACACCACTATTCCCTGTTGCATTTAGCACAATAACTAAGATGTGGAATCAACCTAGTTGTCTAAACCAAAGACAGATGGATGAATTACAAAGATGTGGTACACATCGCACACACAAACGTATGTGCGTGCACACACACATACACACAATGGAATACTATTCAGCTGCAGCTGTAAGGAATAATGAAATCATGAGATTTTCTGCAAACTAGATGAAACTGGAAGAATATTAATTGAAACCACAACACCCAAAAGGAGAGAGAGAACAGAGGGGAATGCCCTGCCACAGAGGCAGGGGGGGATGGGGGGATGGGGGGTGGGAGGGATACTGGGATCCGTGGTGGTGGGAAATGGGCACCGGTGGATGGATGGGTATTTGATCATTGTATAATTGAAACCCAAGCACGAAAATTTGTAAGTCTGCAACTGTACCTCATGATGTCTCACTATTAAAAAAATTTTTTAATAAAAAAAAAGAATATTGAATGAAGTAAGCCAAAAGTAGAGGATTAACACAGGTTGATCTCACTTATATGTGGTATGTAGAATAATGAAATTAGGGAATGTATCATAGTAAAAAGGGATGAATAGATCACCATTGGCCCCAGAATATAGCTAGGAGCAGGAAAAATAAGGAAAGAAATCAAGTAGAGGGAGGGAGAATATGAGAAAAGGAAGTACTGGGGAAAAGTGTCAGGGCCCCTTAGTATGTTAGTAATAATATAGGGTAGTTGTATAGTTGTAAATCCAAACCACAGACTCACTAAAACTGAAAACATGAGATCCAAACTACAATGACAATATTTTAAAATCTACCTGAAAATGTGGCAGTGGGAGTAGGGCATCTTGGGAGGAAACATGGGAACACTTGTTGAGGGAAGATGATACTGGTGGTATGATTGTGTTAGAACATTATATATTTAAACGTCAACTATCAATAACTTTGTTATTCACAGTTCTTTAATTAAATAAAACTGAGAGAGATCTCGCTATAAACTTAGGTGCCCAGATAAGTTCTTAAGCCAAGGGGGTCTACTCCAGTGTTTTGGAAAGTATAGAAACCGTCAAAGGTATTCAAACTGTGACTCAGTATCTGCACTAAAGCATGGGCCCTCCACTCTCAGGCAGTCCAAGGGCAGGGGGTGGGGGGATTCCTGGGCACCAGCTGCCAGTCTAACCCTTTTCAGACTGCACTGGACACAAATCTTGGCCTTTTATACAGAACTCTCACGAGGGCATCCTGGCTACCCCAACCACATTAGGCCAATAGTGCATTAGCTTATTCCAATCAAGATACTTGCAAAATCACATAAACAATAACGAACACAAGAATCAATAGAACCCCAATACAAAAGAAAAAGGAAATTCAGGCTAAAGAACACGTCCACTGAATCAGGGCTAGAGGCCTCATATGAGTCAAACAGGAGCACCTTGAAGTGGAAAGATGAGACCACCGTCTACCAAACCCGCCCAGAGTCCACCCTGGCAGTGAGAGGGGTACACTGATAGTGGACTGAAAGTATCCACATCCACATAGATCACCATTGACCCCATGCCATCATATTACCATACTACCATGGCATCATGGGGAAACAGATGCTCACCACGAGGAGTGGATGAAGAAAAGAGCCCTGATATCCTCAAAAAGTATACCCACATACAGAATCTCTCTGACGAAGAATTCAAAGACAAAATGGTGAGGATCTTTTATGAGCTCAAAGAAACAGTAGAATTAACATCCAATAAAATATGAGATGATATGAAAGAAAAAGTGGAATGGACAGCCAATAAAATGTGGGAGGAAATGAGAGCAGATATATACTAAAATTGGAAAGGTACAGAGAAGATTAGCGTGGCCCCTGTGCAAGGATGACACACAAATTCATGAAGTGTTCCATATTTTTGAGGAGCTGGAGCAATAGCACAGCAGGTAGGGCATTTGCCTTGCATATGGCCAACCCAGGTTCGATTCCTCCATTCTTCTCTGAGAGCCTGGCATGCTACTGAGAGTATCCCTCCCGCATGGCAGAGACTGGCAAGCTTCCCGTGGAGTATTCGATATGCCAAAAACAGTAACAAGTCTCATAATGGAGATATTACTGGTGCCCGCTCAAGCAAATCAATGAACAATGGGAGCACAGTGCTACAATCAAAAGTGTCATTAATTAAAAATTCAGTGGATGAAAAGGAAAACTCAGTGGGTGCTCTCAATAGGAGAAATTCTACAACAGAAGAAGGAATTAGTGAACTTGAAGATGAGCTGCAGAAAGCATCCAGGCAGCAGCAGCAGATGGAAAAGGACCTCAGAATAGCTCAAGGGCAAGTAAAAGATGTATGGGATGAATTTTAGAGTAACAACATAAGAATAATCAGAGTACAGAGGAACATTGAGGCAACCCCAGTGAGGTAGTAACAGTTAATGACATCATTGCTGAAAATATCGCAAAGCTGGAGAGTGTAGTCATCCAGATCCAAGAAGCCCAAAACTTACCAGCTAAAAGAGAACCTAATAAAAATATCCAAGATATATCTTTAATAAGAACAACAAATATCAGAGATAAAGACACAATACAGCAAGCTGTATAGTCGAAGAAGGAAATTACATACAAAGAAGCATCCCTTAGATTTGTAGCAGTCTTGTCAGATGAAATTCTCTGATCCCGAAGACACTGGTGGTATAATGTGGAAAAAAATTCAATGAAATGAACTTCTCACCAAGAATAATTTGCCCAACTAGATTCTCATTCAGATTTGAAGGAACGATACATAACTTCATGTATAAAAAACAGCTCAGGAACTTCATAGACTTAAAACAAACTTTTAAAAGATGAACATAAAGGGCTGCTGTAAAGGAAGATAATCTCCCAAACACAACAAACTTCTACAGAAAGATTTCACAAAACCCATGACAATAATCTCTCTCAATGTTATTGGTATAAATGCACCAATTAAGAGACACAGAGTGGCAAAATTGATTAAAAACCAGAGTCCAACCTTCTGCTGCCTACAACAGTTAGAGTAAACATTCAAAATCAAGGCTGTAAAAATAATTCTTCAAGCAAATCTCTCCTTCAAAAAGGCCAGAGTGGTCATACTACATACTCAACAACATAGATTTCAGTCTGAAAAAGTTGAGAGGGGACTGTGAAGACCATTTATTAATAATCAAGTGACATGTATATCAGGAAGAAATTACACTCCTAAACATATATGCACTGAAAGAGCAATGAGCAAAATACTTAAAAGAACTGCTAATAGACTTCAAGGAGGACATCGGTAGCAACACAATAGTATTAGAGACTTCAACGGTCCCATGCCACCTATTAATAAACAAAAGAGACTAAAACTCAGCAGGAAAAAAACTGCCTTTGAAGGAAGAAATGGACGAGAGAGGCCCCATAGATATATGCAGGTTTTTTATTCCCCAAAAGCTGAACACACATTCTTCTCCAGTACTCATGGAACATTCTCCAAGATAGAATTCATTCTGGGTCACAAAACATACCTCAACAAAATCAAGAAGATAGAAAATTTTTTTCAAATATCTTTTTGTATCATGATGCACTGAAAATAGAAGTTAATCATAGAAATGGATAATCTGATTAAATAAAACTTTAAAAAAGTAAATCGTACTTAAGAAAGCAATTAAATTACAAAACTGTGACTAAATGAAATTTTTATCTTACACAAGGATACTATCAACCCCACGGTTGCATTCTATAAAGAAAAAGGAGAGATTTAAGAGTTGGGATGTGGAAAACATCCATGGATTGCACTGAGATGCTTTGAGAAGTTGAAAAAAATGCTCTTTCCCAACTTCTATGGTTTGGTGTTCTCTGGGCAGATTCCTACCTAGAGCATTGTCAAAGAGAAAGGACATTGAGTTCTATAAATTTTATCTATTTATAATTTTATAAGCTCTTACTTCTGATTAACTGTCTCATGAGGACAGGAATGTCTCCTGTCCCTGCGCCTGGCTGTCCTCACTGTGGCCCCTTGGAGGAGGGCAGGTTGAGTTTCCTTCTCCCCCGCCCCCAAGCAGAGCCCCAGCAGCTGAGGACCTCCGGAGCCAGCCATGGCCATGCTGGGACCACTCTCCACACATCTGGAAAAGTCTCATGCATGAAAGAACTGTCAGAGGAACCCAGGCATGCGGATCCCGGGGCTGAAATCTTCAAGCCTGCTTGGATTGGGACTGGGTCTTCTCCACCCAGACCCCCCACCTTCCAGTATGTAGGTGTCACACCCATCAGCTGCCGCCAGCACCAGGTTGGTCCCATCAATGGCCAAGATGCAGAGACTATAAAACCCAGCTCCTGGAAGCGCGTGGCCGCATTTGCGGCCACGCAACATATTATTTCATTTTCCCTTTGGAGAACCTGGCAGGCTACCAAAAGTATCCTGCCCGCACGGCAGAGTCTGGCAAACTTCCCGTGTCGTACTCCATATGCCAAATACCAGTAACAATGATGGATCTCATTCTCCTAACCCTGAAAGAGCATTGAAATGGCTCTTTTAAAATCTCAGGGCTAGGAAGAAGACGTTACTGGTGACTGCTCGAGGCAATTGACAAACAACAGGATGATCGTGATCATGATTGTGATGAGGGAATTAGGTCATTGAGATAGGCCACTAGAATTTTATAAGGTCTTAATTATGCTTAATTCTCTAGTAAGAGGATTAGAACATTGTGTCCTGTGTCACTTTAAGTTGAATTCTCAGACTGGTGTTTCAAAAAAATTTTTTTATTGAATCACTGTAAGATAGACCCTTACAAAGTTGTTCATTATTAGGTATCAGTAATTCAGTATTCCAACACCCATCTCCCCACTAGTGTATATTTCCCAGCACCAGTGTTCCCAGTTTCCCTCCCATCACCTCTCACATCAACCCTCAGGCTGCCTATATGGCAGGGGATTTTCTTCATTCTTTATCTATCACTATTTCTCTTCCTTTTGGGCAATTTGGTTTGCAATATTGATACGGAAAGATTATCAAGAATATTACCTGCATTTAACACTGTTCTTGTCCAACGTGACTATTCTCAGCTATTATTGTCATACTATTTCCTTCTCCATCTTACCTACCCTCCGCCCTTCCCACACACATGTTTGAATCCAATCATTGACCAGTTCTCATAGCTCCTTTTTTTCCTGGCCATGAATATTAGTCTTCTATTATATATTTTATGTGTCACAAATAAATGCAGTCATTCTATATCTGACCCTCTCCTTCTGGCTCATTTCACTCAGCATGATACTCTCCATGTCTGTCCATCTATAGACAAATTTCATGACTCCACTTTTCCTAACAACTGAGTAGTATTTCATTGTGAATATGTGCCATAGGTTCTTTATCCATTCATCTTTTCTCGGGTACTCAGGTTGTTTTCTATTTCTATTTCTTTTGTGAATAGTGCTGGAATGAACATAGGAGTGCAGATGGTGTTTCTGCTGTGTATTTGGGACCCTGAGCGTATATTCCCAGAAGTGGCATTGCTGAGTCAAATGAGAACTAGATTTTTAGCTTTTTAAGGAATGTTCATATTGTTTTTCAAAAAGACTGGACCAGTTGGCATTTCCACCAACAATGAATGAGAGTTCCTTTCTCTCCACATCTGTGCTAGCACTGGTTGTTATTGTTCGTTCAGATTGTGCCACTTTCTGTGCTGTGAGATGGTATCTCATTCTTATTTTGATCTGCATATCCCTGATGCTTAGTGATGAATAGCATTTTTTCCTATGCCTTTTGGCCATTCGACTTTAAGTCTGAGTTAGATCTTCTAAGAGCCTGTTTTGGTAAATGTTTTATAAAGAAGAGGGCAAAACATTTTTAGATAACATCTCAGTTTTATGGTTTGTTTATATGAATTGTGGAGAGATAACAGACTTCCAAGTTAAGGTTTTGAAAAAAATATAGACCAATAAAGACTGGCACTCAGGTTTCTGCTTGAACAATCATAGGACTAATGAAACTATCACAGAGACAAAAATGAACTTTTGAAAAAAATACTTCTTCAGAAAACCTTGTACACTACAAACTGAAGACTAAAACCCATTCTTGTTCAAAGATGTACATTTCGAAATCAATAAAAAATCATTGAGGCAATTGAATATACATTTTATTATTCTTTGAATCTTGATTTCCTTTGTATAATTAATTATATTTGAGAGACACTCTAAACCAGTCTTCCCAGTAAGCATATGATGTGTAAAATGGCAAACGAAGAGATTCAGGCAAAAGAGTAGACCTATAACATTGTCAAAGTACAACTTATACAATCTCAGTAAGACTTGATATTTTCAATAAGATGATTGGTGACTTGATAATTTCATTATAGATTTAATATTGCATAAAATTAACAAATTTGTGTCATTAGAAGAGAATTTTTTCAAAGACTTTGGAATGCATCAGGAATAATAATTCTTTATTAAGACTGTAAATTTTGGAGCCAGAGAGAAGACACAGTGGATATATTGCCTTGCACATCCAGGTTTAATCCCCAGCACCTCATACAGTCCTCTAAGCCTGCCAGGAGAGATTTCTGAGTACAGAGCCAGTAGTGAACTCTGAGCATTGCCAGTGTGGCCCAAAAATGAAAAAGAAAGACTGTTTGTTTTGATTATGTATTTGTATTATGGAACTTGTATAAATCATATATTTGAACTTGTATAAATCATATATTTGAAATGAATATCTGAAATATATTGAATAGTTTAATGTTAACAATTTGTGGTGTCAGTAAAGTAACTTTGTAGAACAAAGGCATAAATATTGACCTCACTGTAATAATGTTACCTCAAATACAAGAAAAAAGAACAAACTATTTTTGAAAACATTTTGTAACATTGAAATATTTATTACACTGAACTTAAATGAGTTGGAAGCATCCTTACCCTCTCTA